CCCCAAAACCCCAAAACCCCAAAACCCCATTTTTTTGAAAATATATTGAAAATTGTTTGTAATTTTGAAAATTAAATGAAGATCAACTAATATAAGCCCGCTCATTTGCAGAATTAGAGTGTTAAACAGCCTTCTCAAGATACTTTTTAAGTGAATCTCTTCCTCCACGAACTGAGGTGATGAATTTATCATCTTGCTCATTGCAAGCAGAGACCAGAGAGCTATGAGAGACAGCAATGTCTGTCTTATACCTAAAGATCTTGCACCTAGAGGATGTTGATGAGCATTTCTGCATCCTGCCTGCCTTCTTTAGAATTATAGGCCTCTTCTGTCTCTTCTTTTTGATAGAAATATTTTGTGGGCATTTCATTGGCTTATAAATACTCACAGAACTCTGGTGAGTGCTCTTATCTTGATCTACAAATGAGCTTCCTTTGGAGTCAGAGGTATACATAATAGAATCAGAGGTATACATAATAGAATCAGAGGTGTTCTTCGTTCTCGCCTGAGTCCTTCCGATTTGCTTCATTCTGTTCGTCGTCTTAATCAAGCTATTATAAGCCATTTTCCTATTCAGCTTCATTACTGATAACTTCTCTTTCACTGAGGCTCCGAATCCCTTCCTTGGCTTTGGCTGATAAAAGTTAGTAGTTAGGACATTCTTTGTTTTAACCGTTTTCGAACTGTATTCATCATATTTCCTTCCCGAAGGAGGCGGCTTACATGGCGAGTTTTGGAAATTAGATCGGCATTTCTTCAATCATTTGTTATCGAATTTTAATTTTGGCCCTCAAGAACCCTTCTGGTCTCTTATTCTTATTTTGTTTTTTGATATAGATCTTACTCCTAAAATAAATTGTGAATAAGAGTTTCTGAATTAAAAATCTAAGTTTGGTTTTAAGATCACCAATGGTTAATAAAGGATGCATTATTGAGCCAAGAGAATTATACTCTTAAAACCTAATTCCAAGCTTTCTCAATCATGCATTAAACTCCACTTACTCGGAAATGCATATCAGGAAGTATTCCTGGCATTTTCCTCTTCAGCTACATCTTCTTCAGTATCTTCTTTTGCCATATCTTCCTCAGTTGGTGTCTCAGGAAGACTTTTCAGCATTATCTCATGAATCAAATTATCTTTCTCTCTTCCAAGAATAAGGATGCAACTGGAAACATGGTCTGCTGAAGGTTCTTCTACTTTGCGATCACTACTCGAGAAGCATCCACAGGATGCTTCTGTGTATTGAGATTTTGGCAACTTTGGGATATCCTCCAGGCCAAGTTTCGCTGTATCAATATGACTAGAAGGAAGTTCAGGAACTTTTCCCTCTTGGTTGACTGTCTCTTGCTGTTTCATATGATAATTATGCCTAAACCCAGGGTTATACTTATCAAGATACCGTGAATAGAAAGAGTGATGATCAGATTGCTTCTCTATACTTTGACTTCGTTCAATTCGCTTTTTGACGAATTCCTCAACAGTTTCTATCTTCGGAAGGTCTTCTTTTTTCCTTTCTAGTGAATAGACATCATATTTCTGATTGGTTAGGTTAAAAATGTTGGCTTCAGGTGGTTCATACACTTCATCAGGTTGATCAAGGAAGTCATATGCTTCTTTAATGACTTTCTGAAGCTCAACCCGAGATTGAATAGAACCCTTCGAACTTGTCTCTATATCCACTAATCTTTTTTAGAAGTAATTTGTAAGAATCTCTTAGTTGGCACCAAAGATGTTTACTTAAATAAATGTGAATATGCTAGCTCATAGCTGTAAACCTCTTTGGAGGGAATTAATAAAATAATCTAGAGTTTTTTTATGGCTTTAAACTAGAGTTTGCAAAATTTACATATTTTGAAGCTTAAGCCCTCACTATTTTCCCTCTAAAATTTACCTTGAGGCCTCTCTTTTTGGTATAACGTCTTCTCTGTCTCTGGCTAGAAGCGGTACTGATTGCACAGTTCAGAGTATTAAGGTTTTCTTTGTCAGAAAATTCCGCAGACATATTAATTTAAAATATTCAAATTCAATATTTCGTGTAAAATTTGGGGTTTTGGGGTTTTGGGGTTTTGGGGTTTTGGGGTTTTGGGG